TTTTTTTGGCTGCTGCTGGCTAAATCGCGACTGGCGGCGTCGACGGTCGACCCTTGCCGCCCTCTTCGGTCCAGAGCAAATTAAAAGGCTTTAATCGCACCCGTTTACAATACTTACAAGGCTTGTTTACGGTACTCACGGAGCTTGTTCACAACACTTAGAGATGACTTACATGACCTGCATCGCTTCCTTACAGAACATAAGGCACAGGGCTTACAAATTCCAACATGATCCGACATGAATGATCCCCACGTAAAATGATCCTCAAAGCTTGTTCTGCTCCACACGGCACCGATGTAAACAATGATGCATCATAATGATGCATCATTGCAATGATGCAAACAATGATGCACACACAGCATCATACTCCCCTCACGGTTCGACAGTTCTGATTACCAAAGACTGTGTTTTGTTAAAATATGGGTGAATTAAAGGCATGGGCTGAGGAATGGTTTAAAAGGACCCTGTAAACATGACACTTATTCGTAACTAGATATATGTGGCTTACTTATTGCACGCTAACCGAATTGCATGAAACAATATTTTCTCACGATCCAGAATGAGCAGCATATACCAAACATCATACGAGAAATGTCTAAACTTCTCGAAAGCTTGTCAGCGCGTTGATTCCTAGTAATAACGCCTGATATGTCCCTTCCGACCATGCCATGTCTGCCGACGATGCATCCCAGTTGCTTCAAGACATTAATCGATGTTTACAAGCCTGTTCTAACCTCATCCTCGCATTTGCAGGGATGTTTGCAAGATTTCGCCAATAAACTGGGTGGCAATCCTGTAGTACCCATTAATTTCAATGCTACGTGAATAGATGTTGTGCATTTTGCATCTCAAGTCGTAACACAGATCAATATTACGATTTGCTTTCAAAAATAATTCCTACTAAAGCACTTTTTCTAGCCCAATTATCCGTGCCATGTTTGTCGTTGTCAACGCCTTAACATTCATATGTAACGCCTTGTGAAATAACAATTGATGTGTAAATAACTAAATATTATACGTAACGTTGATCTTAAATTTATAACTCAGCACTGCTTGTTCATTTATCTTCGTACTGCAGCACTCTGATGAAGTGATATGTAAAAACAAGGTAATATGAGCAGAGCAGGCGCGCTGGGCCGAGCCGGGCCGGGGCAGTCGACTGTAGACGGTGGGGCGAGGTGGTACAATATGGCCTATTGAATAATGCTGCGTTTTCTTAGTTATGCGTTAAACTCAAAGTATCACGCTCTATGTCAAGATCCTGCGTTTAGTTGAATTTGACATCTTGGTCTGAAGTCAAAATGAGCTGATACAAA